TAAATATAGATTTTTATATGTGAATAACAATTACTGACCTTTTTGTGTGGTGTTAAATCATGTTATTTACTCAGGTGATATCGGCCTTGGAAAGTCTCTTTCTTATAAGGGTTAAGGAAATTATTCTTCCACCTGCTGGAGAATTTTTTAGATTTGATTACCATGTGCCATTTCTCGGGTTTTCAAAACATTTTCTATAATGGGTTGGGTCTCTAGATGTTCTTGATAATTTATCTGCCTATTTCTTCTATTGCTCAAGGGTACCTCTTGGCCTTGGGAAACTCATGAAAGGGGAACACTATATTTATATGCATGGTTCTCAAGATTTGTTATGAGCCAGCTTTCAACTGAACAATTGTTCCTCTTCATTTTATTGTTTAATTTGTTTTTCAGACGTTGCTCTACCAACTCCACTCTCCAGAAAGGTTGCTTTCTACAAACTGCACTTTGTGTTTCTCAAGCAAATCATGCACCTCCTCCTCAATGATGTTGCAAGCACACTGGATTTCCTAACATTTCTTAGGAAAAGCTCATTCCCACTCCAGGGACTTTGTACTTTCTGGACTCTGTGCCTAGGTTGCTCTGTCCTTCACTATCTCACCTTGTAGCTTCCTGAATAGCTTCCTCATGTGTAGTTTGGTTACCTCTAATTCCTTCAGATTTTAACTCAAATATTACTTTTATTTTGAAAAGCCTTTTCTGACTCCCTTAGATTGTGTTACATATATAGCCCACTAATACAAATTTACTGAATAAATGACTAGGTGGATCTGATATTATACATGTTGTATTTGAGGAAATGAAGAGATGCTGAAAGTACTGGAAGTGTGTAGATGAAATGAGAAGACCAGAAATAGTTCTTATTAACATTTGCTTAGCACTTTACAGTTTACAAAGCACCCTTGCATATGTTATATCACTTGAATTTTTAATGTCTATTAAAGAAAACTGTTAACTATCTCCATTCTACAGCCTTTAAAAGTGAAAAGACCTCAAGATCACATAGCTAACAAATAGAAGTTGGAACTATATTCTTATCTCCAAATTTAATACATTGTACTGAAATGACATGCTGAAATGCCCTGGCTTAAGTTTGAGGTTTGCAAGCATAGATGTTCCAGGCAAAGTATCAGAAACATAAAGTGTATGAGAATCATCAGAAGTTAATTACTTTTACGGACATTCAAATGCTTCTTTGCTGTAGGAACAAAGGAAAAACCTTCTTCACATTCCCTGTGTTATCTCTGGCTGAGTCTCTTCCTAATTATATGACCAGTTGCTGACTGTCTGCTTTAATTTTCTCTGCTAAATGAGGATAATTATAGTATTAGATTGGTGCAAAATTAATTGTGGTTTTTGCCATTGAAAGTAATAACTAAAAACATAATTATTGTTTTATAAATGAATCGTGAGAATTAAGTCAGTTTATTTAGTAAAACAACAGAAAATTGCTCATCACAGAATATTGCTTATACAGAAAAACTGCCATTATGATTACCATCATTGTTATTGTTAGTATTATTTAACGTGCTTACCAAAGACCTTCTGTCCTCTCAAGAGAAGAAAACAAACATAAAATATATGACTATCTTATCTGCAATTAACTTTTTAGGACTTCTATAGTTTATTGCATGGGAAGAGGAGTCTTCCTTTTAATCTTGTTATTTACTCAAGTGATATTGGCCTTGGAAAGTCTCTTTCCTATATAGGTTAAGGAAATCATTCTTCTGCCTGCTGGAGAATTTTTTAGATTTAATTGCCATGTGCTATTTCATGTTATTCACTTGAGAGTGATTTTGATCTTGGAAAGTCTCTTGCCAAGGCCAATATCACTTGAGTAAATAACATGAAAATTTTGTTCTTAGTATTTTATTATTTATTTAATAATAATATAATTTAAATTTATTTAATAATAATATAATTTAATAATAAAAACTAAGAAGAGTACTAAACATTTTTTAAAAGATTGATGTTAATAATATATAATTTAACACAAAAATTAAATGAAACTAATTTATAATAAATTACATATACTAATTCCAAAATTTTGTTCTACAACTACACCAGAAAATGTAAGGAAATTGTCAGATGCATACAGCATCTTTTTGTGAATAGGTCTGTATTTAATAAGAGCATCATAAGCCTTTCTTTATAAGAAGTATAGAAAATAAAAGAAGTATAGACAGACACCAGAAAAAAATAGAATTAGTACAGTTAATTAGAGACCAGACATATTTGTATATGATAAGAGAAAGAAGGAAATAACCTTAAATGAATTTGGGATTACATGACAAAGCAAATTAAAGATTGACAAATTGAAAAAATAAGGAAGTAAGAATCTTGTAAATGAGTTCAATGTTATCTATAAATGCAGTGGTATAATAATTCTTTGGACGGTAATTTGGGTCTCAGAGGATTATTGTACTTTGGAATAATTCCCTTGAAAATTTCTAAGTGCTCTTCTGTGGCTGAGACCAAGCGGGTGTATAGTGACATGGAGAAAGTGTTGCCCATGCCAAGATAAGCACCTCTATGGGCTCTAGTACCCATTTCTCCTCTTTAAATTGCTCCTCAATCCTGTACATATGGGGTGAAATTGGTGAAGATTTACCATTATTATATCTGCTATATTGAATTCCTACCACACATTCAGGCATACTTTTAGTATCTTGCATAAAAAATAAACTTGGAGACCATATTCTTCAAGAGGTGATAGGGAATATAGGACAGATTTTAAAAATAGTGATTTAAAAGGTCATAGAGGAAATATATAATATACTGTTTAGGAGAGTATTATAAATTATTGAAGACTGAAAATGGTCCTTGACTCCAGAATGACTGCCTGTGTTGTGTGGCAAGAAGTTGGAAGGGGCTGATGACTTCAAAGAGGAGGTAGTGTAATGCAAAGTTAAAAATATCTCCTGATTTTCTTATTTAGTCTGTCCCTGTGTGGATGGTAGAATCAGATATTCAGTAGAAGCATGTCTGACAGTCTACGAAACCACATTTCCCGGGAATTGTTTAATTAGCAGCATGCTGTTAGTGTGTAGTACTCACTGCACATTTGAAAATTGTGTGGATTGTATCTATAATGAGAAAAAAGTGTTTTTGCTTACATAAATTGTTTTTACCCAAATGAAAATATCTGAAGAACCAGAGGGAAGAGAAAAGAGAAATCAAATTTGTCTTTAGAACATAATTAAATAACATTTATTACTCCATTTATTGAATAATTATAATTTATAGTTGTTAGAAATTCTGTGAGGACATATATTAAAAAATAGGTAGTTTGTGCATGTCAATCTAAACATCTGGACATATATTTGCTGGCTTCTTTTTTTTTTTTTAGTTGAACATGGTTCTAACCTTGTGTTCCACTTGTTGATAATGTTCTTCAATCTGAAAGTCTCATGATTCTTTGCACCACAATCATAAATTTTTATTATTTTTAAGGTTAGATTTACCTTTTCTATTTTTTATTTTTAATTATTATGGATGACATATGCATGATAGTTGTACATATTCATGGGCTACTCGATACAAGCATGCAATGTGCAATGATCAAATAGGGGTAATTGGAACATTCATTGTCTCAAGCATCTATCATTTATTTGTGTAAGGAACATTTCAATTATGATCTTTTGGTTACTTTGAGTATCATACCAAATGGGGGGAAATTGAAGGCCTTTCTTTTAAAATCTTGAACAAGACAAGGATCTCATTTTTATCACTTTCATTCAACATAGTACTGAAATCCCTAGCCAGAGCAATTAGATAAGAGAAGGAAATAAAGGTCATCCAAATGGGAAAGAAAGAAGTCAAATTATCCTTATTTATAGATGATATGGTCTTTTATATTTAGAAAAACTGAAGTCTCCACCAAAAATCTATTAGAATTGATAAACAATTTCAGTAAAGTTGCAGGATACAAAATCAGCATACGTAAGTCCGTAACACGTCTATATGCCAACAGCAAAAAATCTGAGAAAGAAACCAAGTAAATAATCTCATTTACAATAGCTGCAAATATAGCAGAATGCCTAGGAATAAACTTAATTAAAGAAGTAAAAGCTCTCTACAATGAAAAATTATAATACATTGATGAAAGAAATAGAAGAGGACGAAGACAAAAGATAGGTATTTTATGTTCATGAATTGGAAGGATTCATATTGTTAAAGTGCCCATACTACTCAAAAAAAACTACAGATTCAATACAGTCCCTATCATGAATCCTTGACCATGCACAACAACTTGTCATATACTTACATGAAATTCCATTTTGCAAATCCTTCTGGCTCTTCCCATTTGTTAGTAAATCTGGACGACTGTTACAGATATTTTGGACCGATCAAGTTTGACATGCTCAGTCTACATAATTATAAGGCTTCTGTAGATTATTTTGTTTCTTTTGAGATAGAAACAAGGACAGTTCAAATATCTATAACTGCAAATATGCTGTATTTCTGCAGACAGAAATATTCGTTCAAACTATGGAGTTGACATTATGCCATCCTGTTCTTTCCAGACTTGGGTATATAACACAAATTATGCTAAAAAAAGAAAGGAGGTATAAATGACATTTCCTTGGTTAATATAACCGTGTTTCTGGATTTGGGTAGTATTGTGGCCCTGCAAAATCACTGGGTAAGTATTTATACAGTGTGGTTTATTCAGGAAGGAACATAATGTTTTCTTCAGTTAGTTCCACTTGGATTCTACTGCTGAAATGTATCTTATCTCCATACGTCAGAAATAGGATGAAATAGCATCAGTAATAATGATGTTATATCTGTATAGTACTGTCATTATACACAATAGATACGTGTGTCTTCAAGAGTTTGTGATACAAGAGAGAAAGCAACTTCCTATATTATAGACTCCCAAGTACGACTGGTGCCTCCTAGATATTCACAACTCAAATATTAAAAAGTTAGGAACAAATGCTCTGACTTCATTATTAGCTAAATCATTCACATTTCTTATGTATTTTGTGTGTTAGTTCCATGGACACCTTTGCTCTATCTATAGTATCCCAGTATATCCAATGAAGTTTGATTCAGTTGCTCAGCTTAACTAGCCTCCCTCAGCAGAGTTAGAGGTGAGTATGGATTTTTGTTTGGAATATTTATGCAAAACAATAATTCTAGGTCATATTTCTTCAAGCATTTCTGTCTTGTTAGCAAGAATTTCTCCCAGAGAGAAATCTGTCTGAAACCTAAGCCTGTCTTTCAGAACTGAATTCTTAGTCCCCTTAAAGCTCCAATCAAGCCTGCATCACAACTACTGTTCTCTTCTACCTAGGAAACCTAAATTATGACAAAATTCCAAGATCACAGGAGAGTACTCATAGGAGAAAACTCATTATTGACATTGGGCATTTCAGAACTCTCCAAAAATATAAGTAGTAATAGTTTATGGTGATTTATAGGGAACAATCTAAATTTCTCAGGATATATTTACTTTCTCATCTGAGAAGCCTTTTGGTCTTTTTTCTGATTACCACTTTTAGGCCAGTTCTACTCAAAGTACTTTTAATAGAACTAAATCTTTGATTCAGTATAAACATCAGTTAAGAAATACAATATTATTCTTTAGTTAGTTCTGTTTGGGTATGCTCTACAAATTTTTACTCTCTTTAGGATAGCACTAAGTCTATTCCATTAGCTAAATAGATATTTTCTTTATAATCTCGTAGTCACTTCTGCATCTAAATTCTCAAAGCTAAGTAAGTAGTTTGTTAACTTTCACTAATACCTACATGAGCATTGTCTAAGAGTTAAAGAAAGAGGATAGAAATACAAACTGTGGCTCGACAGTAAAGACAGGTTTACTTTGGTTCAAACATGAGAGGGGCTTTTGGCTGATTTTGGTCAGGACTGCTTTCTCATAGAGACTAAGAGTTTGGTTTTAGTGTGAGGGGGATTATCAGAAGCTGTGAATATTTCTGTTTGAGGGAGAAGTTTTATGGCGGGGTTGGAATGTCTCCGGGAGGAAGAGAGTTTACCTTGGGGCAGACATCTTTCCAGCCAAATAGAGGTTTTCTCCAGGTTGGCATCCTCCCAGACAGAAGGGGATTATCTCAAGGTTAGCCATGTCTCTAACTGGGGAGGAGTTTGGAATGTTTGTTGTTGGAGATGTTATTTGTGATTTATGGTTGTGCTGACCTTAGCCATCAGGCCGATGACTGTCGAATTTAGGGTTTTTTTTTTGTTGTTTGTTTTGTTTTTAATTAAAGTGAACTTCAGAATGAGGGACTTGTCCAAGATGGCAGTACTCCTGCTCTGTCAAGCATAATCACATGTGCAAAATAGAAATTGAACTTCAAATGAAGTTCACTTGGGACTACATGAACAGTTTTGAGCAAAATGTGGGTACAGATTACTTTATGGGAATTCTTTAATATCATATCTGTATTATCTCCTAAGATCATTATAACCTTAGGTTATAGCCAGACAACATAACCTTAGGTTTTTGTTTTGTTTTTCAGATTTTGTGATGACTGAAATTTTGTGCTCGTTTTAGTTTCTTATCATTTCCACTTATGACTATGTGCTTCCTATTTTACAACAGAAAAGCACCACTCACATGTCTTGAATCACAAGTTGCCTCAAGATGTAAAAGCCTCAATAAAGGGAGAATCTGAATTATTAGCATTAAAAGAAGCCTCCTTTAATTAAAACAGCAAAACCCATGGTAAGTCCTTAAGTCTGACCTTGTCATATGCATATCCTGTTAGACAAAATCATGGTATTAGAAGCAGATATTTAGGCTGGGTTATAGTGTCCGGAATTTTGATATATTATGGAGTGGAGGTAGTGGGAATAATGACAATTTTCAAATAATCTTGTGGAGCATCTATCCTCCAGCTATTATCATCAAAGACTGTATTGCTCTTGAAGGAGAGTCTTCTACAAATAATGTAAAAAAGTTTTGGCATGAAATATTGAAAGCAAGGTGATAAAATATAGAAAGTGTTCCAATTGTATCTACTTATCTACATAATAATTTTCAGAATAAATATATAAAGTTTATTTTGAAACACCTACTGTAAATTATTGATTTATAATGAATTTGTCCCATGTTCACGTTTACCACTTTCAGGAGACAGCTTTGTGGGCACTCTCTTTAACTGCTGTCTATATGCACACTTTGCATGATTTAAATGAGAAAGAGGTGAAAAGTTCTATATTAAATCTTTGATTAAAAGAAAAATATAAAAAGTTAGAGTTTTTGATTTTTAAAAATATTTATATTTGATTATGAAATGCTATAGTTCTTTTTAAAAACGTGTACGAACTTTCTTGCCCACAGTTTGTGGCTATGAAATAAATGTTAATAAAAAAGAGGTCTAAACTGTTACTTTTTAAATAAGGAACACATTTTGCATAAACATGGTAGCCTCTACCTTTAAAAATAATAATGTGTCAGCAATCTCTAAGTGGTAGGGTTATTTGTTTTTTTTGAGCATAAAAAATAAAGTCAGTCTTTCATGGGTCTGTACAAACAAAAATGATCATGTATTACCAAAACTAACATCAAAGTATTAGAAAACCAAAGTGTATATATCTAAGCCTACAGCTTCTTAAGTTCTTTTCTCAAAAAGTCTCAGAAACACTTTTGGAATCATTATCCTAGCATGCCCAAATTCAGAAAGTATTCCGTGAAACAGTGCTCCCTAGTAGTTGGAGCATAGGCTGTAAAGAGACTCTATTACTCAACCTTGGACGAGGTGCTCATTCTCTTTCTGCTTTAAGGTTTTATTTGTGAAATGAAATAATTAAAATTCCATTTCAGTATTTTATTTGTAAAATGGAATAATTCTACCTTATAGTGTAGTTCTAAGGATTATATAACATACCATTGGTAAAGTTCTTAGTCCTGGGATTAAAGTCAGTTCTCAAAAATGGAATCTATTATTAACCCATGTGAAAAAAAAAAGAATAGTTTCAATTTGTCATTTAATTGATTCATTAATGAAAATTTGTCAAGCTCCTATAATGGATCAGACAATTTTTTTATGTGTTTTTATGTGTTAAATTTACTAAGACATAGTTCTCCTTCTCATAAAGCATATGGTGGAATATATGCATAGCTGGATAAAAATAGAGCAAGTGCATCGCTTGACACCACTTAAGCAGCTATCTAGTGAACAGGAGTAGTCTTTGTTCTTCCATGGCTACAAAATAATGAAAGATATAGTATTCCCTCAAATTAGCATGTAAAAGAGAAATAAAAGGATGTGTATGTCAAAATTTCAGTACTAATATGGTGACCTTTATCATCACTGAGAAAAAGGATGCATTAAAACTTTAATTGTCAAACCAGGCTTTAAACACCAAGAAAAATGACTGGAGATCAAGGAGAGTATGTTTCAATATATTTCAGAACATAGCCAACCCAAACTCTCCAAGGACACTGAAAGACTGCAGCTGAACAAAGAATGTAATAGGTATTTTATGAGCCTGACCTGACAGTTTATAAAAATGGTTTCCTGTAAATACTTCTTCTTTCCAAGGGAATTCTGGTCTTATGAAAATGTTTTTAATCCATTTAACCCTGAATAGTTGCACAAATTAAACCATTTTCTTACTATTAATAATATAAACACATACCTATTTTGAACTTTTAAATGCTGTGGTAAGCACTTCACAAATTTTGTATCCCTTGGTCTTGTTAAAAGAAACACTTTTGACAAATTAAATTTAGCAGAGTTCATTTGAGGCAAGAGCAATTCATAAATCAGGTAGCAATCAGAATCAGAAGAGGCTCAGAGAGCCTAACCAAGCAGAGTGAGCAGTGAGATTTTATAGGATAGCCACAGATACAGAGTTGAGAAATCACCTGATTGGCTGCAGCTAGGCATCCATTTTATTTGGGCATGGAGTGATCAGTTGGCTGTCTGTAATTGGCTCAAACATGGCTGCTTGGCTGTTGTTATTGGCTAAAAATAGACTCTTCGTTGCACTCCTAGGTTTGAAACTGTTTGCATATTAACTTAGGTTGTAGTTTTCTATGCAGGGACTCGAGGTATGGAGGCACCCTCAGGCTAATGGCCTCCTGCTTATTTAACAGTCTTCACACACACACACACACACACACACACACCCCAATATATCTTAATATCATTTCCATTTTACAAATAAAAAAATAAGAATGCTTGTGTCCCTCACTTTTAAAAAAGCATGTTTGATCAACAGTATGTCTTTAAAATAAGAACATGACATCTCAAATTTAGACCTTAGTTGAACTATTTTTCTTCTTGGCTAATAATTGCAAAGTAATATGTTCAGTCTTTCTACTGTTTGTCAAGAATTCTTCTATTCGAAGGGTTAATAGTATCATGAATGAACTGAATAAAAAATTTCACCATTAAGTAGTACATATGCTTGCTTCAGAGTCAAAATAGCCCTACTGGTTCTAGTTATTTGATAAACTGTGAGAAATTAAATATGATTGATTACTTGAATATTGGTAACTTTTTTTTTGAGGTGGAGTTTCGCTCTTGTTACCCAGGCTGGAGTGCAATGGCGTGATCTCGGCTCACTGCAACCTTCGCCTCCTGGGTTCAGGCAATTCTCCTGCCTCAGCCTCCTGAATATTGGTAACTTTTAACTGACTTACTGGTAGCCTGGTTAAACTAATAAATATAAGAGTGTTATGGAAAGGTAATAGTCATGTTTTTTTTTGCATCATTTTTATACAATGTGACAATATATAATTATATAATGCTTAGAAGTATTCAGATACTTTACATATTGTATGATTGAATTAGAGATGTCTCCATATTTTGCAAGTTGAGTGTTTGAAGTGCTTGAAAGTCATGAAATAACTGTAATTTTATCAGGGAAGTCTTACAGGCTAGACATTGTTTGACCCTCCAGATCCACACTCAGTCTCTCTTTACTAAGTTTTCACTCCTGGAGTCTGATTCCTCAGAAGTTCTCTTGTCTTCTGGCTTTCTATTTGCCAGAAAACAAGATTCTGCCCGTGAGAGACATCATCAGGATTTATTTAGATCATCCACATTTAGATTTCAAATGTCGAGAAAAGCATTTAATTCCAACTTCCTCGCTATCTCTCACCTCCAGCTGAAATTTGGCTCTGTACTTCTCATGCAACAGCTTCTCTCTCCAACTACAGCTTTCACTAGTCTCTGATAACAGCTTCTTCTCCTTAAAATTTCTGGTCTAGAGCATTCCCAGTTGTGGACTCTCAAGCGCTTCATTTTAATTCTTAGCCCTACCCATACTTGAATAGTTCCTTCATAAATTGCTGTGAATTAAGTATCTGAGTGTGCCTCCTAGGGTGACCAACCATTCTGGTTTGCATGACACTCATGATTTTATTTTAGCAAGAAGATCAGATACCCTTGCCACACACTAGGGCAGATGGTTGCCCTCAGCTTCTTGACAGCCTTGTCTGATCTAGATAGTTAAGATAGTGAGGATCTGGTAAAAATATAGGTTATATGGTTGAAAGACAGAAGATATTTTATCTGGAAAGAGAGAATGTTAAGTTTTGCTTCCAGACAGTTGGCTTATTTTATTTATAGAGAGGGGTCAGAAGAAACAATGTGTAAGGTGAGGATATATAGTATCTAGCACTGTGGTAGTGATTTTTATCATATTATATATATATCCCCATGTCATAAATGTGTTTTAGTAAAGTAAAGCTGTAAATATTACAGCTTACCACGCTCAGTAGACAAGAAAATTGGTTACAGTCATGATAAAGACTTAGTCTAAAAATTAATCTACAATTACCTAAGAATATCTGTCATAATTTTATAAGCATATCTCCAAAATTAATTGAGAATTTAAAAATAATGAATGAAAATGAGTGTCAACTACCTTTATATAATTTACTTAGGTATAATTATATAAATAACTTAAAAATAATAGGTAACAAATAGGATTTTGATATAAATCTCAATTTATTCTCTGCTAAGAAAATCATTAGTTTTTGCTGCTGAGATAATTCAACAATTCACTCTCAATATCTCGTTACAGTCACTGGTCCCCCTGCCTTCATCACTCTTCCTGCTGGTACAGTATGCAGAGTACTTATTACTAACTTTTTGTGTCTTTCATTAGTGACTTCCACTACTGGTGTGGGAATTCAACTTTTTTCTCTCTAGTGAGTTATTATCCTGTATCCTGGTTCGCTCACTTTCTTTACTATAGTGTACTGTGCTAAATGGAACATTCTGTTTCCTTTGACAGGAAAAAAAAGAACACCTTCAGGATTGTGAAAATGAGGTTCCTGTTATGCAGCAAAGTGGACACTATTACATTTTTGCTCTCATTGTACAATTTGTGTTTTCCACATATCTCCTAATATTACTTTCAATTTATAAAGCAATACCATCACCAACAATAAATCAATAGCTACACCTCTACTGTATGTCAAATACTGTGCTAGACCCTGAAGTAGAGAGTTGAATAAGATGTAGTCTCTGACCTTCAAAAGTTGGGAGACAGATATGTAAATAAAACATTCCAATAGTACTAAAGAGTAAAACAACAGGTTTGCACAAAGAACAAAATACCTCAAAGGTGTGATTCATTCATCTGGATGTGTGGATTGGGCAGGGAAAAGTTGAGCTAAGAGGTTTTGCAGAGGTCATATCTGAGCTTACCCAGTTAAGCCCATTTCCTTCTCAACTGTAAATGACTTGTCCTGATGAAAAGGTGATTAATGCACCAATTATACCGTCTAAGAGTGTATACAATGAAAGCTAAGCCTCTTTCTCACTCTACATTTTTTATGGTATCTATGCATGCAAGCAAGCAAATCACAACTTTAAACAACCAAACAAGAATAAGCAAATAGAAAACCAAGCACTTAAATGTTCAGGTATTTTATTACCTATCAATTTTCTCCTACAGAAACCAATTTCAGATACCTTGTGAATACCACTTTTCCTTACTTGGGGAGTTCTTCACCTTCTTTTTATCTAAATAGCTCTAGCAGGATGAGTGGTCGAATCTGTTTCATTGTATTTATATTTAAGTTCTCAGACACTGTAGCTTGGGGGATGTAGCCTTCATATATAGAAAGCAAATGTCAAGTTGCAAAAGGAATTTGTAGTTGGAGAGTCAAGGTTCTGATGTTTTTTCTTCATCTACAATTTAGACCTCAATGTACTGTCTCTTAGCTTCTAGATCATTCTTTTCTTTTTGTAAAGAGTAGTGGATAATAATTACTGTCAATAGGCTCAAGTGTAACAACCAGGGTTTCAGAGCCATATAATTTAAAGACTAGAAAGAACCTCAGATAACATAAAAATATATTATTTTTCAGCTAAAGAAGCCCAGAGAAGTAAAATGATTTGCCTCAGTTAATACAAGTAGATAGTGGCATGACTTTCAGTAGAACTAATTCCTGTTTCCTTTAAAAGTGGTCTGTATCTTAATACAAAAGCTGAAATAGAGACACTGGAGAGCTTATTACAGTACATATTGCTGGATCCTACTGCCAGAGGTTGTAATTCATCAGGTCTAATGGAGGCCCAGTAATCTGCATTTCTAGCAACTTTCTGGCTGCTGCTGCTGCCTTGGTAAGAACACATTGAGAAACCTGTTCTACAGCATGCATCTTGAGTCCTCACATAAGTATTCTTAAACCCAAGCTTGCAATAACTTAGTAGAAAGAAGTTCTGACTCTAAAGTCAACATTTCCTTTTCCCTCCTAATAAGACACTTCATCTCTCTGTGGTACACGTAAAGGTTTGCTCTAGGACCTGAAGATTTTCTCTTGGTTAATTACTTATTAATTTAATTTAAAGCCAGTTAATGTATGTGTGCTTCTTAAAATATGAAATAATAAAATATTTTTATTTTGTGACTTACACTATTTTTCATTAATCTAAAGTACCTTCAGTACCATTCATGCTTATTGATTTACACATCCTGGATTTACCTATCCAATATTTACCCATCTTGTCAAATTAGTCAACAAGGACTGCCAATTATTCTGTCACAAACTTGCAATCCCCTGCTAACCTTTAACCTCTCTGCCTCCATCTTTCTTTCCCTCCCCATTCACTACCTGAGCCCAGGTGGTCATGTCGGAAGTATGTCATTAAACTGCAGTGACTATAATAAAATTAGCACAGCTAGGATAAACTGAAGAGTTGAAAGTAGAAATAGAGGTGACAGAACGTTTTAAGGGAGATAACCTAAAATTGGTTAATAAACTAGAAAAGTGAGATGTCTCACAGTTGAAAAAACTAACTGCCTCAATACTTCAAACAATGGGAGAAAGAGTGTCACTCATGACTTTTTAAAGATACCTCCGATTTGTACCTTTCAGCCAAAAGTATGAAAAAGCCACAGACAAAGATTAGATTATAAATATTGCCTTCATACCACTACCAACTTTTTCTTATGTTCACATTAGTCATCCTTACAATAAAGAAATGTGGGTCCAGGCCCTGCTCAAGCCTGTAATCCCAGCACTTTGGGAGGCTGAGGGAGGTGGATAATCTGAGGTCAGCAGTTCAAGACAAGCCTGGTCAATATAGTAAAACCCTGTCTTTACTAAAAATACAAAAATTAGCCAGGCATGGTGGCATGTGCCTATAATCCCAGCTACTTAGGAGGCTGAGACAGGGAATCACCTGAACTTGAGAGGTGGAGGTTGCAGTGAGCCGAGATCACTGCACTCCAGCCTGAGTGACAGAGCCAGACACCATCTCAAAAAAAAAAAAAAAAAAAAAAAAAAAGGCCCAGCAAAGAAGCCAATTATTTAAAAACAAGAATCACAGGGTTAAGAAGTGTAACTAAAAGAGATTTAGGGATTTTTGGTGAAGTTCTTCCAAATGAAATTAAATAGGCCAGAAAATTTAGTTCTTGAGAAAGTTGAAAAACCACTAGCTCAGCCTTAAAGGCTTTTAATTGTGTGAAACAAAAAGACATCCTTGATTTATTAAATTAGAACCAGCTGCCAGGCATGGTAGCTCACACCTGTAATCCTAGCACTTTGGGAGGCCAAGGCAGGAAAATCATTTGATGCCAGGAGTTCAAAACCAGCCTGGTCAACATGGTGAAACCCCATCTCTACTAAAAATACAAAAATTAGCCAGATGTGGTGGCATACACCTGTAATCCCAGCTACTTGGGAGACTGAGCCATGAGAATCTCTTGAACCCAGGAGGTAGATGCTGCAGTGAGCCAAGATCGTGCTACCTCACCCCAGCCTGAATGACAGAGAGAGATTCTGTCTTGGGGTAAAACAAAACTATATCAGCAAAAAGAGGTAGTGGCCTGATATAGCCTGATGAAACATGCCATTTGCTTTAGAATATGCCACGGAAGTTAAGGAAACAAAAAAAATTTTCCAATTAGTCAAGCTACAGGCCAGAAAAGGACAATGGATAAGTTCCTCCCAAAGATCAAAACCAGTCTAACACAGGAAATCCTGCTGCTGCCAGGTCAGGGAGTTCTTGAAACTCTGATCCAGAATGATTCATTTCATAATTGTAATGAACCAGTGGCTCTTTCTAGGTGAGTATTTTTGTTGCAGTTATCCTATTTCTTTTTCACCATTGAATATTGGCTATGTATGGGGTGAGGGGCTGGGAGGTATGAGAAAAATGACTGCATTTCTTATGTCATCACTGTTGGGCCCCCACTGGATCACACAGAAAGAATTGTGTATAATTCAGAGTTACTCAATTTTGAGTAAGGTGCAGTAACTAGACAAGACATTTGTATCTCTTGGAGAAGGGATGTTTTCTTTTCGTAAAACAAAACAAAACACAAAACCATGAATACTTGTACATGGATACTTGGGAGGCCAGCATGCCAGCCTGTCAGAAACCATTAATTTTCCCCAGTGTTTTCTTCCCTCCTTATTTCCTTTCAGCAATAGGATCTATTGATTTTTAGCTCTTCGCAATGTATGCAGCTAGAGAGAATACATCCCCAATCTTCCCTTGCAAAATAGGCCTTATCTCACAACTAATGCTAATAGAATAAGTGAAAACCAATTTCTAAACTTTTTGAATTATGTTTTTAAAAGAAACCTAATTGCCTTTCAAGAACTTCCCCCTTCAGGCTGCAATCAAATAGCAAAAACTTGAACAATGGCCTCTACCGTACACCGACTGGACCCCCTCACTGGAAGTAACATACCTGTTTTGCCAGTTTGGTTTCCTAGATGACCTCATAGAGGAAAGCCCATGTATTTGCCCTGGGTTCTCATGTGAGAGAGTGTATGTTTTAATCTTGTTTCAACTACTGAAGTTTTGGTCCCATTAATCCTGTACCCTAACTACTAAATCTTTCCTGGGATTATTATGATGTTATTAACATTCTGCGTAAAACTTGTTGAAATTTCAGATGTAGTAAGATTTCTATTTGAAGCTCAATTCTTCAGGATACTCACAATTGATCTAGGGTTATGGGACATAAGATAGCTGGGAAAGGTTAACCTGCATTTTTACTCTTAATTTTTAGTCTTGTTAATAGCATTGTCCTGAACTACCTGTTTGTCTACAGAATAAAGCAAAATATTTTCAAGTAAGTGTTTTTGTTTGTCCTACATTTCTTATCATTTTTTCTTCAGTTTTCTAATACAGAATTTTTAATCTCTATTTTCCCATTATTAAACCAGCTATATATATATATATATTTTATCTATCTCAGACACCAGGTTTTAGAACTCACCAGTGATGTTATCTATTTATTAAATAATAACTGCCTTAAAAATAAAACAATTACTTATTTACAACTTGAGTTTAACTTGTAGCTCTTTTTCTAATGCATTTGTGTGTATTCTTGTGCATTCATATGTATACAGATATAATTCTTACCTTGAGTTTCTTTTCTTTTTAAAAGTTGCTTGGGTTTAATAAGTATCTTTCATTTCTGTTTCTTTCTATTTAGTACAACATTTTCTCTTAGCAGAACTTTAATGGTACCCTTAAGTTCTTATATGTAATTATTTTTCTCAGTGTATTTGGGCACTTTCATTGTTTGTCAATATTCATTCCACCCTTTCCCAACAACTTAAGTTTTGTCTTTTGGGTTTCAAATAGTGAAACAATTGCAAAGTTAGACTAAAATAAAAAGATTCAGCTTCTTCAGCTCACTTTCTTTAATAGGCAACTTAACAATATAACCTCCCTACAAAGCACAATGGTGAAGTTCACATGAGAAATTGAAGGCATGACCAAACTAAAATGAATTGCTGTGCTGATGATGTTAAGAGTTCCTGATGACCCACTGCTGGTCCATTACATAGGTCTTGATCTAGGGGTAGATTTTAACAAAGGTCACATTAGATGTAAAAGCACTAAGCTGACTTAAAGGCTGCAAGAAAACAGAAGGAAGTAACACTATGTTAACTACATGTTGCTGAGGGCCTCTACTCCAGGAAGGATTTTACCTTCCAGCAGCTCTAGACTGGCACCACCTCCAGTGCTGACATGGCTGACTTTATCTTCAGTGCTCCATTTGGCACAGCAAGTAGCAGTGTCTCCACCCCCTATAATAGTGATGCAGCCCTTGGAAGTGGCTTTCACGATTTCATCCATAAGGGCTTTGGTTCCCTTAGCAAAGGCATCCCATTCAAATACTCCTAAAGGCCCATTCCAGACAATTAGCTTTGCTTGAGCCACAACTTGAGCATGATTCTTGTTGCTCTCAGGACCACAGTCCAAACCCATCCAGCCTGGAGGTATACCAGATGCTACAGTGGCTTGTCCTACCTGAGCGTTCTCATCAAACTTGTCAGCAGTAACAAAGTCAACAGGAAAAGTAATCTTGACACCATTCTTTTGTGCTTTGGTCATGATATCTTTGACTATCTTGGCTCCCTCGTCATCAAACAGGGAAGCACCAATGTCCATGTTGTTGAGTACCTTAAGGAAGGTATAAGCCATTCCACCACCAATAATCATCACATTGACTTTGTCCAGCATATTTTTGATGAGTTGGATCTTGTCTGCCACTTTGGCTCCACCAAGTATAGCCAGAAAGGGCCTCACTGGGTTTTCCAGGGCTTTAGCAAAGTAATCTAGTTCCTTCTTCATCAGGAATCCAGATGCTTTTTGGGGCAGATTCACTCCCACCATGGAACTATGAGCCCGGTGTGCAGTGCCAAAAGCGTCATTGACATAGATGTCTCCTAGCTTGGAAAGTGATGTTCGGAAGGCTTCTATTTTATCTGGCTCAGCTTTAATCTTCTTTCCAGAAGGATCCTGGCCCTTCCCTTCTTCCTCCACATGAAAGCGCAGGTTCTCCAGCAGGATGACTGAACCAGGAGCTGGGTTGGCACAGGCTTTCTCCACTTCTGTGCCTACACAGTCCTTCAAGAACAGAACATCCTTGCCCAGCAAGGATTTGAGCTCAGCAGCAACAGGCGCTAAAGAATATTTGTCAGGCATGGGAACACCATCAGGCCGACCTAGATGACTCATAAGAACTACTGCCTTGGCTCCGTTGTCCAGGCAGTGCTTGATGCTTGGGATGGAAGCCTTGATTCTCTGGTTATTTGTAATCTGGTTCTTCTTCATGGGAACATTGAAGTCTACTCTCATGATGACTCGCTTCCCTCTAACATCCAGCTTGTCTAAGGTCAACTTCTTAGAAAGAGACATCTTGACAATATAAAGACATAGGCTGACACCTGGATCTTAATGCTGAAGAACCAACTTGCTGTTGGGAGGCTGCGTCGGTTGTGATTTCTAACGCCTTTCCTTTGCCCCACCCCTTTCTTCTCCACGCTGTCTGCAGCACAAGAGCCACTGTTAGACCGGTAAGGAAATTTAGCTTTGTGATTGGTCCGTGGTC